TCTCTAGCCATCCTTCACTGGCTGCCAGTCTTCTATCAAGCACAATTCAAAGTTCTGGCTTCAGCCTATAAAACCCTAAATGGTTCAGGTCCAGCTTACCTATCAGAACATATCTCCCTTTATGAACCAGTACCAGTGTTAAGATCTGCCGGGGAGATCCTGCCGCCTTTGTAAGTGCAATTGGTGGGGGTGAGAGACAGGGCCTTCTCGGTTGTGGTCCGTTGGCTATGGAACTCCCTTCCTAGTGAGGTCAGATCAGCCCCTCCTTCCTGGCATTCAGGAAACAAGTTAAAACTTGACTATTCAAACAGGCATTCAGTGAATGACAGAAATGCAATTTCACATCTTGTCATGACAGAAATGCTGCAGCTGAATTAAGATTAAGGACTTGTGCAATGTGTTATTTGTGTTTTGGATTCTTCATGTTTCATATGTTTATTGGTTTTAAATTGTATTTTATGTATACTGTTTTAATGATTTTATGTTATGTTTTAACTAAGTGTATAATTGAGGCATTGAATGTTTGCCTAGTTATATGATTACCCTTTGAGAGTTTAACATATAACTGCGCCTTTCTTAGTATTTGAACACTTGCTTCACCAGTGGTATATGTTCCTCTAGTGTTCGTGAATACATTAATATGTCATCCAGAAAAACTAGAACTCCCTGGTATAGCAAAGAGTATAGGACTTCATTTATCCTTTGCATGAACACTCAAGCTCTGGATAGGCCAAATGGTAACACTTTGTACTGAAAGGCTCCCAGTGGGCTCCTCAACCAGGCGATCCCCAAAATTAATGGATATTGATTTATAGGAGTCACTTCAAACTGTAGCAGCTCCTGGTGGGACCCCAACCTCATCATTTACAACTCCGTTTTGTATTCCACAGGGGCTCCTCCTGCTTGAGTCCCATCTAGTTGGGTAAATGAGCCTGGAACCCCAGGTTTCGGCGGTGGCCAGGGGAGCTTTTGTACAGTTAAAACTTGTGCAGCAGCTGTGCCCGTATCTTGGGAAGTCTGACTTGGCCAAAGCAGTCCATGCTCTGGTTACATCCCGAATAGACTACTGCAATGCACTCTACGTGGGGTTGCCTCTGAAGACTGCCTGGAAGCTGCAATTAGTCCAACGTTCGGTAGCCAGATAAGACCCTTTGTTCATCCACAGTCCAGCAATGCCAGTAAATTTGTCTGTCCCTCTCTTCCACTCCTCAGCTAAACATGTAACAACTTCATTTCACAATCAGCACTCCCTAAGGTTTCAGTGCTCAGCTGGTTTCTGATTTCCCTCCAAGTGTGGTGCACAGAAAATTGTGGCACTTTTCTGGCACCTCCTCTCTGTTGTCTCCCTCCATCTCCCGGATGAGATCTCCCCCCCCCCCATGCCTTTTTGGCCACATTGGTTTTGCTATGCTTTAGGTGTACTGGCTTCTTACCTTTTTCCTTCTCCTTCTCTGGCTATTGGGCAGTTGACTCGCTGGAATACCCCAGCAAGTGAGAGTCCAAAAGTGGCAGGCTCAAACCCAGAACCTCAATGAATGGCTGATACCAAATGAGAGACCCCCCCTAGGCACACAGAAAACTGGGCGACTTGGAAGGTGCTGAACAGACTGCGGTCTGGCACCACGAGATGCAGAGCCAATCTTAAGAAATGGGGCTACAAAGTGGAATTCACAACATGCGAGTGTGGAGAAGAGCAAACCACTGACCACCTGCTGCAATGCACCTGAGCCCTGCTACATGCACAATGGAGGACCTTCTTGCGGCAACACCAGAGGCACTCCAAGTGGCCAGATACTGGTCAAAGGACAATTAACCAACTGCCAAACTTGCAAACTTTGTGTTTTGTTTGTTTGTTTGTTTTGTTTAAAATGTAATACAACTGTCTGGTTGCTCCTGACACGATAAATAATAAGTTGACTTGCTCCAGCAGTTAGCCACCAATGCCATGGCTTGCCATGGTTGAAGCAGTTGAAGGATTTCCCTGGCCTCTTCCTGCTGCTGGCCCTTGGTCTGGCCGCTGTGCTCCCTGTTGTCAGACTTCTCACTCTTCTTAGCTGCTCCTTGGCACACTCAACCTTTTGTGCTAACATGATCTATGCTGCAAAATAATCTGGATCATCTCTATGCAAGCACCAATCCAGCAGTTCAGGCCGCAAGCAATCTTTAAAATACTCAAACTTTGTGATTTCTGACCACTCTGGCATATTATTATTATTATTATTATTATTATTATTATTATTATATCTTTATTTGGACTCGATGCGGCTTACAAAGGCCAAGGCCTCAAAACACAACATAACAATACAACACCTAAAGCAAATTAAAAACAGTTAAAGCAATATTAAACAACAAGCAATAAACAATACATCAAGACACTATAAAACTGGGCCGGGCCAGAGTAATGGGTACAAGGTTAAAAGTGCTGATGTGACAGGTGATATGTAAGGATTATAGGGTAAGTGCAGTGTGCAGTGTGCGGCAATCTCAATTCTAGTAAAGTGCTTCTGGGACTTGTTGGAGATTCCTATTCTGGAAAGGCACATCGGAACGGCCAGGTCTTCAAGTTCTTTCTAAAGACTGCCAATGTAGGGGCCTGTCAGCAACATAAAATCCAGAGCACACTCCAACACTGAGTGGCTCCTTGGCTTAGTTGCTTAAGATGGAACTTAGCTTTCATTGTTTCCATGGGATCCTGGAAACGGGCTCTAAAGGCTTTTAAAAACGTTTCCTGCTGGTTCAACTTAGGGGCTCTCGTGGCATGCAGTTGCACCAGCCAATCTGATGTCCTGCACCTGAGATTGGCCCATATTGTTATTACTTTGGCCGCTTCAGAGGCAAACAAAAGCCCATAATCTTGCATATAGTTCTCCACATTGGTGGTAAAGTAGGAGACTTCCTGTGGATACCTGTGAATTTTGCCCACAGTTCTCCTTTCCATGGGCCGTGGCTGACTGCTCCTGACTGGTCACCAGAGCTCCCAGCTGGTACTCTCCAGGATAACCTTTGCATGTGTCTCTGATCCCAAAGTATTCCTCCTCTGACACTGCCGATTGTGTTGCCTCCCTCAAAAAGGGACGTGTTGTGCCCTGGAGGGACACTGGCTTGGAAGAATAGATGCTGAAGCATAGTCTCCATTGCCAAGACTTTAGCCTCCATCAGCTGCCACTTTTGAGGGATTTCCTCCCCTTCTTTTGGGGGCCCCTGGGGTTTTTTCTTCCTTAACGCTACTTCCAGCATCTATTAGATTTTGCTGGACTCCCAGGATAAATCCGTGGCCATGAATGTCTCTAGGCCCCCAAATGGGTAGATCAGTTTCTCCTCTAACTCTTTCAAAGCAGCCACACTGGGGGGAGGGGAGGAAAATTGCCCAAGTCCTCCCTGTCCGGGAATTCCTTCATCTCTGACATCCTGCTCTCACTACAGTGGTTCAGGATGAGAGCAATGATTAGCAAGGGATTGGCGTTTTTATGTAATTGCATGCAGGATCTAACTAGGAATATAGACCATTCACAAAGTCCTTTGGAATTGACTTTATTACTCAGATCTCTACAGCTTAAGAAAAAAGATGCTAATTGTGGTTTCGGCCAACCCGTTTCCCTTCCAATCTCACTCCACCCACTGCCCTTATCAGTCTTTTCCCACGAGAAAAGTTCGTTCATCCTGTCACAAAAAATTAATGTGCAGATTTTATAAATATGGATTTAATATGATGTGTGGGAATGAATGGAAGAATGGAAGGAAGTATGGAGCTAATAATTTTGGAAACACCAGTAAAAGACCCAGGCCTGCAATGACTACCTACCTGTTTTCTGGACTGTGATTATAACCTGCTAATAAGAATGTAAAAGTAAACTCTGATAAGAATTGGGATAGTGATAACAGAAATGTTTACAATATTAAGAAGGAAATCAACATAAGATCAATACCAATCAAAAAGATGAACATCTGGCCAGGAAACTGAGATGGCTCCAGGATGGAAGACGTGTATCATTCATTTATAACTTTGGGATGACATCAACAGAATATTCCTATAAAAGACTCAATCGATTAATAGTGTGGAAGACTTGAGGAGTCTGTTCCACCTGCTATGCTCTGCTCCAGGCCTTATAAATAACTTGAGAAGTGTTCTGCCTAGGAATCTCTATAGCTAACTCCCACAGGAATCTGGCCATAGAGCCATGCTGAAAGACCTTAAGATTCACAGAGAGACTATATGAACCGAATATGTGAACACTCAACCTGCAAAAATGAAACCATCAAATATGGAGGGCTGACTAAACCTCAGTTTTCATTTGTTCTAGGTCCAACACGGTTTGGGTGTGAAACAAAAGTCTCATCGGCATATCCAGCCTACATCCCTCAGAAAGGTAAAGAAATGATGAAAGGGAAGAAGAAAGGCTACCCACTTAGTCCTGATTAAAGAATGATTGCCTAAAAATCATTTAAGTCTTTCTTAAGCCTCTTTGCTGTTGCTCTTATTGTTGCCATCTTTCCAAATGAGAGAGGAAGTCCTTGGCCAATCCATGAGCTGAGCATTGCACTGGGAAATGGCTTCATTATTCACATTCCAGCCTCTCAGTCAGTTTTTAGCTAAATATATACAAAAGCCCCCGGAGCCCCTGGTGGTGCAGTGGGTTAAACCGCTGAGCTGCTGAACTTGTGACCAAAAGGACAGCAAGTCCAATTGTTAGCCCCAGCTCCTGCCAACCTAGCAGTCTGAAAAAATGCAAATGTGAGTAGATCAATAAGTACTGCTCCGGTGGGAAGGTAACGGTGCTCCATGCAGTCATACTGGCCACATGAGCTAGGAGACGTCTACAGACAATGCCAGCTATTCAGCTTAGAAATTGAGATGAGCACCACCTCCCAGAGTCGGACACAACTAGACTTAATGTCAAGGGGAACCTTTACTTTTACTTATATAAAGAAAGTGTAAAGAGATACTACAAAAAGAATCAACAGACCAAGATCTCTGGAGATAAAGCTCTTCTTGTCAGATGGTGTACGTGTCTTTGGGCTTTGCCCTCCATTCTTAGAGAGAGAGAGCCAGTTGGGCTGTGTCATGCACATGAAAGAGGGGGAGGAGGGTCTCTCCTGAGAAAGAGGCTGGAGGGTATTCAAAAATCAGGGCTGCTGAATCTGCATCATAAAAGGCCACCCGACCCCCTTCGCAGTTCAGTGTCACTCGAACCCTCCTGGGCTCCTCACTCATAATCAGACATGGGGTTTCATAGTTGTCTGAGGAGAACCAGTATTCACTCCCCCACTTTCCCATTTCCCAGATCCCAGCATCAGGACCAGAGTGGTCAAAGTCCTTTCTCTCAACAGATTTTCTGGCAACTCCCACAGACCAGTCTTCCTCACTACTCACAAGGACTTCCCAAAAATGCCTGCCTCCTGTGAATCCCTCCTGGCCCAGCACATAAGGACAATGATTGAATCTCTCAGGATTGTCAGGAAGATCTTGCTCTTCCTTTCCCCATGTCACACGCCTGCAATCTTCAGAGAGGATGAGCTGAGGATGGGCTGTGTCTGGATCCAGAGTCACATGTGCTGTTGGTGGCAGAAGCAGATCGGCATGGAGAAAGAAAGAAAAAAAGACAGACAGATGTGAATTGCTGGAGGGTTCAGCCGCCACCTTTCATTCTTATAAAATGAAGGGGAAATCCTCCCTTGTCCTCTCAAATCTAACCATGTCCCTCTTCTTCTTAAGGGATAAAACTTGAGCGCCTGGTAGTTGGACTATGAATCTGGAGACCAGAGTTCGATTCCCTTGGGCAAATCACACTCTCTCGGCCCCAGATAAAGTTCATGATAGGATTTCTTTAAGGTCAGAAACAATTTGAAGCCACACAAATAATCTATTTCCATGACAATATTATTATCCCTCATATTCCATACTGGAGTAAGGAACTAATTCTTTGCCTAGTGATGCATAGGATGCTAACTGGGGCCCCTTACAGAGAGAGGTCAACCCTCCTGTTTAAGGAGCTCCACTGGCTGCCATTTATTTTCCGAGCCCAATTCAAGGTGCAGGTGCTTAACTACAAAGCCCTGAACGGTTTGGGACCAGCCTACCTGCGTGACCGCATCTCCATCTACAAACCCACACGTTATCTTCGGTCATCTGGAGAGGCCCTGCTCGTGATCCCACCGGCGTCGCAAGCGCGCTTGGTGGGGACACGGGACAGGACCTTTTCCGTGGTGGCCCCCCGACTCTGGAACACCCTCCCCAAAGACCTTAGACAGGCCCCTACATTGGCTGCCTTCAGAAAGAACTTGAAGACCTGGCTTTTCCGATGCGCCTTCCCAGATTAGGAAATCTCCACCACCAAGTCCCATAAGCACTTTATCAGAACCAATGATTGCTGCACATCACACATCGCACTTGCCCTGGAAGCCCTATATACACCTCCTGTCACATCAGCACTTTTAATCTTGTACCCATTGCTCTGGCCCGGCCCAGTTTTATTGTGTTTAGTGTATTGTGCCTGTTGTTTATTTTGCTTTATTCTGTTTTTAATTGTTTGATTTGCTTAGATTGTATTGTTGTGTTGTGTGTTGAGGCCTCGGCCTGTGTAAGCCACATCGAATCCTTCGGGAGATGCTAGCGGGGTACAAATAAAGTTTAATAATAATAATAATAATAATAATAATAATAATAATAATAATAATAGTGCGTGCTTGACAAAAAAAATGCCTATCCTGTACTAAAGTCTACTTGAAGCAAAATTTCATTTTTCTGCAGATGAATTGGGACAGGACATCAGGATTTAGGCTATTTTGATATTCCTGTGAGAATTCCGGAGAGAATTGAAGACTGTCCATTTTGTTTAGAACTTGAAAAAATTACTTTTGGATTGGTTACAGCTCTCGGAATCCTCATACAAAGAGATTTAATCTCAAACAAATGTTCCTGTCTAAGGCTATTTCTCTTTAATTTGTGCTGCATAATGAGACTTTAGATTTAGACAGGTTCTACACTGCTCTATATCCCAGTATCGGGTCTCAGATTATCTGCTTTGATCTACAATGCCAGATAATTTGGGATCCAATCCTGGGATATAGGGCAGTGTGGAAGGGTCCATGGACTTCATGTTTGTTGCGGCAATATAAGCCGAGGCACCTAACTTTCCCACCAAAAACTGGGCAAACGTATTGATTCAAATATAAGCTGAGGGTGGGAAATGCTGCAGCTACTGATAAATTTCCAAATAAAAATAGATACCAATAAAATTACATTAATTGAGGCATACAGCTTCTGCTCTTCATTCGGCACAGCAAGCCAGCTGAGTTGCTATGCCGAGAGGAGAGGCTGCGTGCCTTCCTCTCCTCCTTTCTCAGCACAGAGATCCAGTTGGGTTGCTGTGCCCAAAAGGGCATGAGGAGGCATGCAGCTGGTAAAAACCCTGCAAAGGACTTCTTTCAGCTCCACGCCTTCCTGCAAGGACCCTCACTCGAGTATAAGGTGAGGGGGCCTTCTTCAGCATTAAAATGAGCTTAAAAATTAGGCTTATATTTGAGTATTTAAAGTACCCTGATTGCTAATGAGTATTGATATGAGCAGAGTGTGAGAAAATTCCCTGTGTTTAAGATTCCTGAGGGGTTTTTGGAACTTAGAGTCCTCAAAAATGGTCCTTCCTAAACTCTCATCAGGTCCCAATGGACTCCTTACTCCCACTGGGCCTTTTATAATGATATCGCACCATTATTTGGGTCACTAAGTCCAACACCACCGCACGAAGGCATGTAAATGCCCACAAATTAAAAGGACACCCAAGAAGGTGTAAGATATTAATTATATGCATGATTTAACCTCATTCTTTTGCATTTTTCACCAATTATGCTAGAAATTAACCCAGAAAAAAGTCCAATTTAACTGCCATGGCTTCATGCTATGTAATCATAGTAATTGTAGTTTCAGAGGGTCTTTACCCATCTCTGACAATGAGTACTGTTGCCTCTCCAAATCAAAACTCCCAAGATTCCATAGCCTTGAGCAATGGCAGTGAAAGTGGAATCAAACTGCATTAATTTTGCAGTGTAGATGTGTTTCAGTGGTGGGCAACTGTAGCAGCTCAAGGGACCACGTTTAAGCCACATAGTCCTCCAGGTGGTACATGGGCTACTGAAGAATAAATACTAAACACAACCCCAAAGTGGCCAGGAAACCATGATTGCTTTTTCACATTAAACAGTGCAAAGGGATTCCTGCAACTTATTGAAAATGTGTTGCTTCTGGATTAGCCATTCAAGGTCTTTTTGGAGATCAGTCTGTTGACTCCAGAGGGATCGAGGGCCACAAAAACATCCAAGAAGGTGTACTTTATATACCTTTACCTTAGGATGCATCTACACTTTAGCATGAATGCAGTTTGACACCCTTTAACTGTCATAGTTGAATGCTATTGAGTAATGCGAGATGTAGTTTTATAAGATCCTATGATTCCATAGCTTTGACACATGACAGCTGAAGTGATGTCAAACTGCATTGATTCTGGATGTAGACTCACCCTGAGAGAAAGGGAGAGGTTAGTTTTGCATGGCCCTGCTGTATTTTGTGGAAGTGTGAGGCTGGGTAAAAAGATTCAGGAGCGTTCTTCTAAAAAGATGAATAAATGGAGCTAAATCAAGCCCAAATGCTGCCTAGGAGTCAAGAGGACTGCACTGAGACTATTGTACTTTGAAGGTGGATTGACACTGTCATATAACCCAGTATCTCATCCCAGATTATCTGCTTTGAACTGGATTATATGTGTCTACACTACCATATCATCCATTCCAAGCAGAAAATCTGGGATGAAAAACTGGATTATATGGCAGTGTAGATAGATCCTAAGAAACCAAGGTCCGAATCCTGTCTCTGTACTGAAAGGCCCCTGGATGGCCTTGGGCAAGTCCTGCTCTCTAAGCCTCAGAGGGAAAGCCATGGCAAACCTTGTTGGAACAAAATCTTTTTGGTTTACCTTTTTGCTGCTGAAGTCCAGATTCCAGAGAGTCTAAAGAGAGAAAGGAAAAGAGAGAGACTGAGAAGGATTTGGTGACTCTCAGAAATCAAGAGCAAACAACTAGGGACAAATGCAAGATACTCCACTTTGGCAGGAAAAACAAAATGCAAAGATCCAGAATGGGGGATGCCTGGCACGAGAGCAGTATGTGTGAAAAAGATCTTGGAGTCCTCGTGGACAGCAAGTTAAACATGAGCCAACAATGTCATGTGGCGGCAAAAAAAAAAAAAAAACAACCCAAACCAAGAAAAAAAAAAACAAAAAACCTAACGAGTCCTCATGGACAACAAGTTAAAAATGAGCCAACAATGTGATGTGGCAGCAAAAAAAGCCAATGGGATTTTGGCCTGCATCAATAGGAGCATAGTGTCTAGATTAGGGAAGTAATGCTACCCCTCTATTCCGCCTTGGTTAGACCACACCTGGAATATTGTGTCCAATTCTGGGCACCACAATTCAAGAGAGATATTGACAAGCTGGAATGTGGAGGGCGACTAAAATGATCAAGGGTCTGGAGAACAAGCCCTATGAGGAGCAGCTTGAGGAGCTGGGCATGTTTAGCCTGAAGAAGAGAAGGCTGAGAGGAGACATGATAGCCATGTATAAATATGTGAGAGGAAGTCACAGGGAGGAGGGAGCAAGCTTGTTTTCTGCTGCCCTGGAGACTAGGACACGGAACAATGGCTTCAAGCTACAAGTAAAGAGATTCCACCTGAACATGAAGAAGAACTTCCTGACTGTGAGAGCTGTTCAGCAGTAGAACTCTCTGCCCCGGAGTGTGGTGGAGGTTCCTTCGGAGGCTTTTAAACAGAGGCTGGATTGCCATCTGTCAGGGGTTCTTTGAATATGTATGTGGCAGGAATGTCTGCTTACACAGACAGCTTCCAGCCTTCACAAACAGGCTATAGTATACAGTGCTGAGGAACCACCAAAAGCACTCCCTCCAAGAACATTGCAGGTTACAACGGGCCACATCCTAGGATTCCTTTCTTTCTCCATTGCTGTGGAATTTGCATAACCCCACATTTGCATGACCCCACCCACTGCCTCTCCCTTAACCCTTTCCAACCCTTTCATAAGGCACACAGCAAACAGAGGAATTGATCAGAAACTGAACAAGAGGTTTGGGGAGAATTCACTTTGTTTTATAGGAGTTGTAGTTCACCTACATCCAGAGAGCACTGTAAACCCAACCAATGATCGATCTGGACCAAACTTGCCACAGATTATGAGACTTGTAGTACCATCACTCACTTCCAGAAACCACTGTGACCCCCACGAATGACGGGCCTGGACCAAACTTGGGACACAAAACCCCCATGACCAACAGAACATACTGGAGATATTTGTGGGGGAGTTGCATGGGACTTGCAGTTCACCCTGCAACCAGAGCACTCTGAATCCCATCAATGATGGATCTAGGCCAAACATGGCACACAGAACCCTGGTGTCCAACACAACATACTTGAGGCGTTTTTGGGGGGACCAAACCAGCCACATGGGAGTTGTAGTTCACCATACACCCAGAGCACTTTGCACCTCACCAATGGTGGATCTGGACCAAACATGGCATACAGAACCCTGGTGACCAACTGAGCATACTGGAAGAGTTTGGGGGAGGACCGACTCACCCATGTGGAAGTTGTAGTTCACCCTGCTCCCAGAGAGCATTCTGAAACCCCCAATGGCAGATTTGGAACACACGTGGCACACAGAATCCTGATGGCCAACAGAACATACTGGAGGGGTTGAGGAGGGAATGACCCACGCATGTGGGAGTTGTAATTCACCCTGCATTCTGAACACTCTGGATCCTATCAAGAATAGATCTGGACCAAAATTGGCACACAGACCCAACATGCCCAACTGTGAATACAGTTGGAGTTTGGAGGTGACTGCCCTCTGAATGTGGGAGTTGTAGTTTACTCTAATCCAGAGAACACTGAACCCACCCGACAATGGATTGGGACCACACTTGGCACACAGACTCAACATGGCCAGCTGTGCATACAGGCATGGTTTGAGATGGATTGACCCATGATTCTGGGAACTGTAGTTCACCCACATTATTATGTATTTTATAATGGGAGCATTCATAAACGACAAAATCAAAAACTGTTTTTTCCCCCTAAGAAATAGTGTTATTAATTAATTAAATGATATTTAACTAACACACCAAAACAAACAATGCCTTCTTCAAATAACCCGGGCACCGTCAGGTACCCAAGCTAGTAAATAAATAAATTGATTAATATATTATCTCTAGGGATCTCTCCAGCAAAGGATCACCGCCTTGTCAGGGCGCTGGAGCTTGAGCACCTCAATGATGTCATGAGCGAAACCGTGAAAGGCCACCCAAGACGGGACGGTTGTGGCAGAGAGGTCAGACCAAGCGTGATCCCTGGGGAAGGCAATGGCAAACCACTCCAGTATCCTTGCCAAGAAAACTAAATGGACCAGTACAACCAGAGATATGTCGGTATGCCATTGGAAGATGGGACTCCTAGGTCGGAAGATGGCCAAAATGCTACTGGGGAGGAGCAGAGGATAAGTTCAACTAGCCCCAGATGTGATGACGCAGCCAGCTCAAAGCCGAAAGGAAGGCTAGCGGCCGACGGTACTGGAGGTGAACGACGAATCCGATGCTCTAAAGATCAACACACCATAGGAACCTGGAATGTAAGATCTATGAGCCAGGGCAAATTGGATGTTATTATTGGTGAGATGTCAAGACTAAAGATAGACATTCTGGGGGTCAGCGAACTGAAATGGACTGGAATGGGCCACTTCACATCAGATGACCACCAGATCTACTACTGCGGACAAGAGGAACATCGAAGAAATGGAGTAGCCTTCATAATTAATAAGAAATTCTCTAAAGCGGTGCTTGGATACAACCCAAAAAATGACAGAATGATCTCAATTCGAGTGCAAGGAAAGCCTTTCAACATTACAGTGATCCAAATATACGCCCCAACCACAGCTGCTGAAGAAGCAGAAGTAGATCAGTTCTATGAGGATCTGCAGGACCTACTGGATAATACACCAAAAAGAGACATTATTTTCATTACAGGAGACTGGAATGCCAAGGTGGGAAGTCAAATGACAACTGGGATCACAGGCAAGCATGGTCTGGGAGAACAAAATGCAGCGGGACGCAGGCTGATAGAATTTTGCCAGGAAAACTCGCTGTGTATAACGAATACTCTCTTCCAACAACCTAAAAGACGGCTTTATACATGGACCTCACCAGATGGTCAACACCGCAATCAGATTGACTACATCCTTTGCAGCCAAAGGTGGCGGACATCCATCCAGTCGGTGAAAACAAGACCTGGGGCTGACTGTAGCTCAGATCACGAACTTCTTATTGCCAAATTTAGAATAAAACTAAAGAGATCAGGGAAAATACACAGACCAGTTAGATATGATCTCACTAACATTCCTAGCGAATATACATTGGAAGTGAAGAACAGATTTGAAGGACTAGATTTAGTAAACAGAGTCCCAGAAGAACTATGGACAGAAGTCCGCGACATTGTTCAGGAGGCGGCAACAAAGTACGTCCCAAAGAAAAAGAAAACCAAGAAGGCAAAATGGTTGTCTGCTGAGACACTGGAAGTAGCCCAAGAAAGGAGGAAAGCAAAAGGAAACAGGATAAGGGGAGATATGCCCAGTTAAATGCGCAATTCCAGAGGTTAGCCAGAAGAGATAAGGAACTATTTTTAAATAAGCAATGCATGGAAGTGGAAGAAGACAACAGATTAGGAAGGACAAGAGACCTCTTCCAGAAAATTAGAAACACTGGAGATAAATTTCTGGCAAAAATTGGCATGATAAAAAACAAAGATGGCAGGGACCTAACAGAAGCTGAAGAGATCAAGAGAAGGTGGCGAGACTATACAGAAGATCTGTATAGGAAGGATAATAATATTGAGGATAGTTTCGACGGTGTGGTGAATGAATTAGAACCAGACATCCTGAGGAGTGAGGTTGAATGGGCCTTAAGAAGCATTGCTAACAACAAGGCAGCAGGAGACGACGGGATCCCAGCTGAACTGTTTAAAATCTTAAAAGATGATGCTGTCAAGGTGATGCATGCCATTTGCCAGCAAATATGGAAAACACAAGAATGGCCATCAGACTGGAAAAAATCAACTTATATCCCCATACCAAAAAAGGGAAATGCGAAAGACTGCTCAAACTTCCGGACAGTGGCCCTTATTTCTCATGCCAGTAAGGTAATGCTCAAGATCCTGCAAGGAAGACTCCAGCAATACATGGAGCGAGAGTTGCCAGATGTTCAAGCTGGGTTTAGAAAAGGCAGAGGAACGAGAGACCAGATTGCCAATATCCGCTGGATAATGGAGAAAGGCAGGGAGTTTCAGAAAAACATCTATTTCTGTCATTGACTATTCTAAAGCCTTTGACTGTGTGGATCATAATAAATTGTGGCAAGTTCTTGGTGGGATGGGCATCCCAAGCCACCTTGTCTCTCTCCTGAGGAATCTGTACAAGGACCAATTAGCAACAGTCAGAACTGACCACGGAACAACAGACTGGTTCAAGATTGGGAAAGCGTACGGCAAGGCTGCATCCTCTCACCCAACCTTTTTAACTTGTATGCAGAACACATCATGCGATGTGCGGGGCTTGATGAATGCAAAGCTGGGGTGAAAATTGCTGGAAGAAACATTAACAACCTCAGATATGCAGATGACACCACTCTGATGGCCGAAAGCTAGGAGGAGCTGAGGAGCCTTCTAATCAAGGTGAAAGAAGAAAGCGCAAAAGCCGGGTTGCAGCTAAACGTCAAAAAAACCAAGATTATGGCAACAAGAATGATTGACAACTGGAAAATAGAGGGAGAAACCGTGGAGGCCGTGACAGACTTTGTATTTCTAGGGGCAAAGATTACTGCAGATGCAGACTGTGGCCAGGAAATCAGAAGATGCTTACTTCTTGGGAGGAGAGCAATGTCCAGTCTCGATAAAATAGTAAAGAGTAGAGACATCAGACTGGCAACAAAGATCCGCATAGTCAAAGCCATGGTATTCCCTGTAGTAACCTACGGATGTGAGAGCTGGACCTTAGGGAAGGCTGAGCGAAGGAAGATCGATGCTTTTGAACTGTGGTGTTGGAGGAAAGTGCTGAGAGTGCCTTGGACTGCGAGAAGATCCAACCAGTCCATCCTCCAGGAAATAAAGCCCAACTGCTCATTGGAGGGAAAGATACTAGAGACAAAGTTGAAGTACTTTGGCCACATCATGAGGAGACAGGAAAGCCTAGAGAAGACAATTATGCTGGGGAAAGTGGAAGGCAAAAGGAAGAGGGGCCGACCAAGGGCAAGATGGATGGATGGCATCCTTGAAGTGACTGGACTGACCTTGAAGGAGCTGGGGGTGGTGACGGCCATCAGGGAGCTCTGGCGTGGGCTGGTCCATGAGGTCACGAAGAGTCGGAGACGACTGAACGAATGAACAACAACAACAACAGGGATCTCTAGATCTTGCAGCACAACTCCATGGTCACCTTTCAGCAGAAGATAACTATTGCATTGTACTGGAGGACCTCCAATGATTCCATAGCATTGAGCCATGGCAGTCAAAATGGAGACACCTACAGTGTAGATGAGTTATATTAGCAGGAGAAAGGCTGACCCAGGAATTCTGCATATTTATTTCATTTTGCTTCATGGCTGGAGTTTTATTTCACACTTTAAAGCAAACAGTTGTCACAGAATTTTGTTTCACATTTTTAAAAAATTGTTGTTTCTATTGGCATTACCATCTGCAGTTTTCTGGCCCCAAGTTTCCAAATGGTTGACACTTTTCATTTACCCTTTTGGTCCAATGTCACAACTCATTGAAAATCCTTTCTGACATTCGGTTACCTCTGCATTGCTTCATGACACCCTCCAGGAAGGGAGTTATATCACGGAAGTCCCAGATCTTCCATTTCAGGGCAGAAGTAAAAACCACAGGAGTCTCACTTTTCTCTCTCTTCTGATACCTGGAAGAAAAAGAACAATATCAGAGGGTTAGACACCACTTCCATGGCCTTAGCTAAATGCTATGCCATTAGGAGAGTTGTAGTCTTGAAGGTATTTCTCCTTCCCTGCCAAAGTTTGCTGATCCCTCACCCAATCACACTCCCATGATTCATCAACATTGAGCCATGACAGTTAAAGTCTACAGTGCAGATGCCCCCACAGTCTCAGAGAGGTGGAAGGGGCCTCATAGGCATCAAGTCCAACTCCACACTGAACCCCAGCCAAAACCAAATCGTGCAATGCACTACTGCTTTGAAAATCCTGCGATGGGAGGGGCAAGTGCTTCACATAAAGATATGAGACTTGGGTGGGAGATTAACTTACCCCTGTAAGAAGCTTCCAATATCCTGTGAAAAAAGGAAATAAATAACTCAGCAGTGGCATGGGGATCAGTCTCATAGATCTGAAAAAGTAACATTTCCAACTCATTGAAAAAGTTGAAGCAAGCCAAGGAAGATGAAATAGCCCTCCCTCCACAAACTAGAGAGATAGGGAAATCTATGTCATGGGTCTCAATTTCACCTGATGAACCAACCTGGACACAGCATATTATTTGAGAACACAGAAATGCTGGACCACTCTCACAACCACCATGTCAGGCTACACAGAGAAGCCATTGAAATCCACAAGCACGTGGACAATTTCAACAGAAAGGAGGAAACCATGAAAATGAGCAAAATCTGGCTACCAGTATTTTAAAAAAACTCTAAAATTACAACAGCAAAACAACAGAAATTAGGGACAGCAAATCACCTCTCAACAAAAGATTCCCCCAGGCACTAACAAGCCACACCAAATAACTGCCAGGCCATCAAATGCTAATCAAGGCGGCCAGCTGAAACATTCACAGCTAGCTCCAACAGACAATAGCTCTTTGTCCCACCCTGGTCATTCCACAGATATATAAACCCCATTTTCCTAGTTCCAACAGACTTCACAACCTCTGAGGATGCCTGCCATAGATGAAGGTGAAACATCAGGAGAGAATGTCTCTAGAACATGGCCATATAGCCCAAAAAACCTACAACAACCCAATGATTCCGGCCATGAAAGCCTTCGACAATACAATTTTAAATAGCCTTTTGGCTGAGCCACCAAAATACCTTCTTCAAGCCCCAGAATGTTGAGAAAGTGGATCTCTTCATCTGCTATGAACTACTACTCCCATGATGGCATAGCATTTAGCCAAGGCCGTGAAAGTAGTGTCAAACCCTCTGATATTTTTCTTTCACCCCCAATTTAAGTATATACAATTTAAGTATTCCTGACAGATAGCCATCTAAGCTCTATTTAAAATCTTCAGAGGAGAAGACTTCTCCACTGCTTGAGACAAGCGAAAACAAAACGTTACTTCTCAGTCTTCTCTTCTCATGGCTAAAGACCATAAGCCACTCCTCTTAGGGCTTGGCTACCAACCTTTAGCAATTTTGGTCACCCTTTTCTGGATATGTTCCTGCTTCTTAATATCCTTTCTTAATTGTTTTGTCCAGAACTGCACACAGGGTTATTCCAGGTAAGGCCCGATGAAAACCAAATAAAGTGGGACTATTATGTCCCTTGATCTAGATACTATACATCTATTGATGAAGCCTAGAATAGCAATGGGGTGTTTTTGTTGTTGTTGTTGTTGTTTTGCTGTTTTGGCATCACTTTGTTGACTCATGTTCAACTTTGTTGGCTCATGTTCTTCTTTGGAGGTCTTAAAAAAGAGGCATGGCAGTATAGGGTTGGATTAGATTACCCTTGCCGCAGTTTTCCACTCTAACATTCAATGATTCAAAGTTTGGACACAGTCCCAAGTGATATCAGAGGTGACCCCCCCCCCCCACCAAGGACCCTGAAAAAGATGGTTCAAAACCAAGGAATTCATAGTTTTACCAAGGACACCAGGCTGGAATGATCCCATAATTCCCTATCTCTCCCCCATGTGGGAACCTAAGGCTCTTTCCATGGTCCCATGGCCCCACATGGCAATGTCCCTGTAACCCACACTTTATGGACTTTTCTATGAACTTTTAGAAACCTTTAATCAACTTTTCATGGACTTTGGAACTCTTATGGACCCTATACAAAACCCTTATGAACTTTTATGATATTTCACTGATCTATACAAAGCTTTAATGGACTCTGGAGGGAGGGAGGGCTGGCATGATTCCCTTTACAGTTTGCATGATTTTACCTCTTGTATGCCTTTCTCCTTCCCCATATCCCTATATGAAATATGAAATGTCACCTCTTCATGAACCCAGCACATTGTGGCTTTGGGAAACCTTCTCTCACTTCCTGGGCCAGCTAATCCCCAGACAAAAGGACTCACCAAAGACTCTTTGCATGACTGATAACAAATGACTCTATTTCCTCGAGACCTCAGAAAAGCCAAAGGCTTGCCCATCTGGGTAATGGATTCTAAGGACATTCACAAAGGTGTTTGGTCACCTCAGCCTCCTTCCATTGTGTCCAACTCCTCTGGCCGATACTGATCCAAGATATCATTAACAAATCCCATATACCGGACTTAAAAGACAACAAAGGGACTGACTAATCAGTCAAAGCTATATTTCCAGAAACTAAAGACAATAACCAAGCAGGCTCGAGGGGCTTAGGAAAGCTATCGCCTGCATTTCTACAAACATTAGCCATTTAATCCATTCATCTTTACTACCGGTTCATTGTTTTCCCGCCAGAACCGCCTCCTTCCTTCTCATTGGCCAAAGCGGTGCTGGCCCCCTGATTGGCTGAGGCGCAGCTAAGCTGGCAACACCTCCCACCTAGTTGATGACTCCATCCAATCAGCACGAAGCCAGCAAAGGGGGTGATAGCGGGAAATTTGAATCTGACAGCTTCTATTTTTCTATAAAAACTGTAATATTTCCCCTTGCAAACTATGTCGGCTTTGGCAAATGATTGCAGTGTGACATCCGCTCCAGCTGGAACGAAATAAATATCTCAGTGGTTTCTGCTTCAACTTGGTAACATTTATTCTCGAATATTGGCTTCTCTTTTCTCACCAGGCAACACACAATGGCTTGGGCCTAATCCACAGCCATTCTAAATTGCTCGACAGTACAAAGACCTTTGTATTCTCTGTCGAAAGGTGCCATCATATCACATTACAGGTTGAGTATTGCTTATTTGAAATGCCAGAGACCAGCAGTGTTTTGGATTTTTTTCAGATTTTGGAATAATGAGATGTCCTTGAGATTGAACCCAAGTTTAAACACTAAATTTGTTTATGTTTCATATTTGTCATCTTTCATATTGTACACCATGACGTTACATATAGTGTAAAGGTAATTTTATATGGTATTTTAATGTTGTGTGGATAAAACAAAGCCTGTGTACCAATAGAAGCCAAAGGTGTCATTGTCTCAGCCATCCATGGAGACAATATGGGCCTTACCTGGAGGAGTTCACTTGCTGGCTGCTTATGCTTCTCCTCTATCTCTTGCATGAGACTTGAGATTGAGGAGAGTTCTTTATAGTGTCTGGCCACATGTTCCTCCCATTTTGCCCAAATCTCCTTCTCTGCCTCTTCTATTTTTGCCAGCAGATTCCTTTCTTGTTCTTCTAGATAATCATGCATGCATCTGAATGCAGCCACAGTCTTCTGCTTCCTGATTTGGGTTTCGTCCTACAATAAAGGAAAGGAGAAACAGGAGTGAGAGGCAGAAGAAAAAAAGTTTTTGGAGTTCTCTGGTTTCCCTAGAATAGAGCCTTCTGTCACTTCACATAGAAAATATCAATATCCAGTAGTGAAAGAGCTATATGAATTCTTGCAAGGGCTCACTATTGGAATGGACCTGAGTCAATATTTTCTGCAGACCCAGAAATGTAATGGTGGATATATTTGATGCAATGATTTCTGCATTGCATATCCAATTTGTCCAGACACAGACTTAAAGTTGTAATGTTTCCCACTTACAAGCAAATAATCTATTTCCTTTGCTGTCTTTTCTTTGTAGGACAGAATGTTCTCTCTTTCCTTTTTCAGAGGCTCCAGCAAATTCCAAATCTGACCCTGAAGAGAAAAACAAAGTCCTTGGTTACTTCAGTTGTTCAAGGTTTAAAAGTTTCAAAGATCATCAACCCGACCTCGTTTACAGGATTCTATGGGAGCTTTGGACAATCTTGACTTGTATTGACATCCCTCTCTCCACTTCTTAATGTTGCTTCCACTTCCACTTCTGTCCCAGCAAGATGACAGTAAGGTCACCTCAGAAGAGATGATTTATTTATTATTTATTTATTTACCACATTAATATACCGCCTTTCTCAGCCCATAGCCAACTCAAGGCGGTTCACAAATGGCAACAATTTGATGCCTGAACCATTATAAAAATACAGTTTAAACAAATATAAAATTCAATTAAAACATTTAGCATAAAACATAGAGCCATACAGAGCCATAAAAACATAGTCATCAGCGCCTCCTTACTAGAATTGTTATCCAACAGCATCGTCAAGACATTTGGAATTTCATTATACCTAATTATGCTGCATTAGCAAAAGCTTGCTCAAAGAGCCAGGTTTTAACCTTTTTTCAAAAAGTCAGGAGAGAGGGGTCCAATCTTCTCTTCCCTTTCCCCTCTCCCCTCTCCGCACTCTCTCTCTCTATTCTCAAGCTGTTCATTTTATATTTCTAGTTATATTTGCTTTTTATGTTTTAAATTCCCCTAAAATAAAATTAAAAACAACATATTGGAATTACACTAAAAATAAAAAGAACAACATAAGTGCAGGAAGATGGAGTTACAAGGTATGCAAAGGGCAATCGCAGGACCATGAATTGTTGAATTGACATAACTAAGTGAATGAAGAGAGGTGTGCTGTTGAAGGGGCTCAAGCCAGCATGTATCCACTATCAATGATAACGCAGTAACAGTGGAATAGCGGGTTTGTGCAGTGAGGTCCAATATTTTCTACATGAAGGAGTTCTCATTCCTACTGGCACTCTTTCTACATTTTCACTCTTTCCACTCTTCCTTGCTATTCCAAAGCTTTTATTTTTCTTCTATATTTTACAAATAACTTGGGTGCCTAGCCATGACCGGGTTATTTGAAAAGGGCTTTGTTTGTTTTTAGATGTTAGGTAATATTGGTTTGGTCATATGTTCTGCTATTTCTTAGAAAAAGTCTCAGTCTTTGCTTTTGCTTTTTATGAATGTTCCCATTAAAAAATGCATGAGGATGTGGCTGAACTACAATTCCCAAAAAATCTTGGGTCAGTCTCCCCAAACTCTGCCAGTATTCACAGTTGGATGTGTTGGGTGTGTGCGCCAAGTTTGGTCCAGATTTGACGTCGGCTGGGTTCAGTGTTCTCAATATGCAGTGAACTACAACTCCCAGA